GAGGACGGGTATTCGCGTGAAGGAGTGATCTCGTATTATCTTTTTCCTTCATCTTTTTTTCCTTGTTTTTTATCCTTATATATATATATATAAGCATTATTTGTAGCCTTTTTATTTTATCATTTTTATGTATATTCATCGCTTTTAATATTATCTTTTTATAATAGCTTATCTTTTTTATCATTATTTTCTTTCTTTTCCTTTTGGTTGTGATATCATGTATCGATTCATGTTAGCCGACCCCAATATCTTTTGGGACTAAGGCTTGGATGTTGGAAGAATCTCCATATCGAAGAATTTAAATCGTGTGCTCCCGTTACTACCTTAATTCTTAAGTGTCTATCTTAACTTCACAAAACGTGAAAGTCCGAAGTTTTTCCCAACACTTCTTCATGTCATGAAGCAAATAAATTTTATGTTATGCTTTGCCAAGTATCACACTTGTAATTTCAAAGGAGAAACAATTTCATACAGAGTATTTATTTAGCACAAAATTTAAGTTTATATATGCTCTTTGTGTTATCCATCTTGCGGAGGTGTTGGGCAGCTGGTCTATGGGTGTTAAGATCCGGGGTTCCATCCTAAAAGATCAACCTGATAGGGGGAGTAACCCAAAGACTTATCTAGTATTTTATTGTTTTATTCTTTTCCAGTGTGGGACAAATACTTTTAACACGCCCCCTCAGCTCGAACCGGGTTGGGCAATATCGGAGTGTATAAACGGGCCAAATAGACCCTTAACAAGCTACCCGTAATCATGGGTGTTAAACAAGCAGTTAAACCACAACCGAAATTGGCAATGATACCATGTTAAGACCTGAAGTTCCATCATAAAAAATAAACCTGATAGGAGGAGTAACCCAAAGCCTTATGTAGTGTTTTATTGTTTTATACCTTTCCGGTGTTAGAACAAATACTTTTAACAATTGGAGATTATGCGGATAGCATAGAATGGAACCAAACTTTTGTGGAGCACATCTTCTATGGAGCTTCGAACCGGATGACCACAGTGGTGTGGTGCCTCATCTACAATAGTAACCAGCTCATGTACGAATTGATAGGAAAATGAACAAGCATAGAACCAAAACCTTGGATAATGAAGAAATCTGGTGGATAGGGTGAGGGGAAACAACAAGGATCCATTGAGTGTAAATAAGGTCACATGAGAGAGCATACAATAACTCAAGCCTATGGTACAAGCGTATATTAGCATGAGTTACACCAACAAAATTTTGACACCCAAAACAACTTTAACCCTTATTCATGCTTATAAAATTTTAAAGATAAAGATATATATTTAGATGACATATACTTCGTATATTTTAACTAGTGTTTTATCTAACATATTTTTGGATTACAATAAAACTAATTTCAGTGTTATCAAAAGGCTCATGATATACCTCTCATTGATTCCCAAAATTGCCTCAATGAGTAGTAGAATTATGGATTGAAACTAAAGGTGTGGTTATCTGTGTCCGTGTTGATTTATGAAAGTTGTGATATACAAGTAATATTTTCATATGAACTATGTTCTGATTCATTATTTCAATCCATCTTTGTCCCTACGAAAGTAGTTATTAGAGTTATATGCAAAACAAATTAGAGAGATGGATATTTCTTAGACACCTTCAAACACAACATCTCACCAAATTAGAGAGATTAGCACGATACATGAATTATGAGATGCTAGGTTGTGACTGGCAACGATAATGAGATGTGTCATTGAGATCAACCTTATTTCAATATCATTGCGGAATGAGACACAAGAGTGATTAAATTTTTACTTTTTGAAATGACAAACTGATGTGCATTGCAATATAGTTGGTTTGTTGCTATTATGTGAGGCACATGCACCCCAAACTCAATTCTTTATTTGGGTTCTATTTAATTATTCTCTTTTATCGTATTCACATCATTTTCCTATCTATAGCTATGTTTGTTTTTGTATTGAATTTTATACCATATTAGGTTGTACTTGCTAATTCATTCTACACACTTCGATGTCATCATTGTGGTACGGCTATTCAATACTTATCATTTAACACATTTACTTCTTAAGAGGGTGTTTGCCAATTGACTGTTGGCAGTTGGCTGTAGGCTGATTCTGTTGGCTGATTGGTAACGGCGGATTCTATTGGCTGTTTTGATTAGTTGATAGTATTAGCTATTTATTAAACAGTGTTTGATTAAACGGCGGTTTAAAATCGGCTGATAACTTGTTAAATTACTTGTAAGGACATCATTTAATTTGTTTTGTTTACTAGTGTTAAATTTTATTAACACCAGTAACAATTCGTTCCAACATTTTTTATAACACAAAATCTCTACAACGAAGTTTGAAATCTATATATTTTTGCTTGACTTCCAAGAGCACGGTCCTTCTCTGGTCACGGAAGAGAGCTGCCATCTTTTTCTAGGTTGGCTCTAGTTTTTCTTTTTTCCCGTGGCTGCTAATATGCTATATCTCCTCTCTTAGCTTGGATCTATATATGAAATACAAGCAGGTTCTCGGTGGCATGCGTTATGAATACTCCAGCCTTAAACATCATCAAACCAACGATTGGCATCATAGTATGGGTTTGCTATTTAAAAAGGCCTCGTTTCATTTGTTTCAGAATTACTGATTTGTCATATTGAAACAGATAAAATCTAAAAGAAAATTAATGTGAAGGGAGAACAATACTTTGGCAGAGAAATTCCGATAGTTTTGTGTAGGAGAAGCACCTCATGTTGAAGAAGGTTTGCTCCATAGCTGCTTTGTTTTTGCGTAAGGTGTGGAAGACGACAAGCATAGTGCGTAGTGCGGCTAGAATATGAATTTGAGATAGAAATTCGAATGGCCAACACCCAAAACGCTAAGTTGTTTAGCTTTTTAAAATTTGGTTGTTTGAGATAAAAAGCCAAAGGCCAATTCATCGAACACTCCTATTAGCTGTTTATCTGGTTAAAAAGCAAAATAGCAGCCAATTCAGCCAAAAAATTGCTGATAGGCTCATACACAAATTTTGATAGAGGATCTTGCATGCAACTATAGGCATCATATTATATTATATACAACAAAATGACTTCTCAATAGTATTACTTCCCGTATTCTTCAGAATTACTCTCTCTATTCCGGGAAAGTTGGCCAAAGTGACTTTCACGTGGACTAATAAAGTAAAAAATGTGTGGTTGAAATTTGTGTAGAGGAGAGAGAATTAATTTTAGCCACATATTCTTTACTTTAAATGGAAATGTCAAATCTTTTTAAGACATCCAAAAATGGAAATTCGGCAAACCTTTTCAGGACGGAGGGAGTACTACGTAAGGCTCTTTCTTTAATTCACCTTTAGTGGATTAATGTGCCTGGTTCTACAATGGTTCACCCGAGTTCTCTCCTTGATCATCCTGACAACCAGCGAGGAGGATGTGGGCCTTCAGTGATAGTGGGTCAGTCCTATTGTTCGGTTGGGCCCATATCCCAACAAGTGCTTAATACTAACAGTTGATAGTGTTTGGGAGTAAAAGCTTTTGAAAAGTAAAGATTGGTATTATTGTTCGATAGTTTTTTGTATAAATGAAAATGTGAAAAGCAATTAAAATCACTCATTCACTTACTTCTCAGTTTTGATTTGAAGAGCTTAATTTAAGTAAAAACAATCATTTAAAACATTCATTTCAGCTTTTCAGTTAAAAGCACAACTTCACGCCACACATTTCTCGTTTTCTCAATCCGTGTACAAAATCAATACATGATTTGAAATCAATCTTGTTAAAACACTTAGATGTAAATGCAAATAAGAGCCAAAAATATTATTTGAATTTAAATCGAAATATTAGTACTTTAGCTTTTTTGGATAATCATTGAAATTTTATTATAATTGTTAATTTTTGGTACTATTATTATTTTATTTATGAATCTCTTGAATTATACTCCTCCCGTCTCAAAAAGGTTGATCAAATTTCATTTTTTGGATGTCCTAAAAAGATTTGTCATTTCCATTTAAAGTAAGGAATATGTGGCTAAAATTAATTCTCTCTCCTCTGCACAAATTTCAACCATACAATTTTTACTTTATTAATCTACATGAAAGTCAACTTCGCCTACCTTTTCAGGACGAAGGGAGTATATATTTGCAAATTATACCCTATATTATTAGTCCGTATTATTTATAAATATACCCCTGGACCGGTAACCTATAATTTTGAAGTTGTCGTATCATATCATCGTAGCTTTATTCGTGCATTGATGTATTGGCGTATCTATACCCGTCCAATATAAGGGACATGTGTGTTGGATGGGCGGCTTGTGTATTTGGACGGCGATTTGATTCACAAGCGAGAAAGAGAAGAGCCAGAGCTTTCCTTCTTCCATTACATTTTTATTTGGATTCTTTGTTTAGTTTGGACAAGGGCTTTTATTGTATTTTAACTATGTATGTTACATCATGATAAAAAAAAACTATGTTACATCAACTATTACTTTTTTAGCAAGCACTTCAACCTTTATCTTTTACTACTTTCGTCCCTTAAAACTTTTTCAAAGTTGACTGGCACGGAGAATAATAAAGTAAAAACTGTGTGATTGAGATTTGTGAAGATGAAAGAGAAAAAACAGAAACCATAAAATAATTGATTAAAAATGAAAGTGACAAAGTTTTTTGGGACGTCCCAAAAAAGAAAGATGACAAAGTTTTAAGAGAGGGAGGAGAGAGTAATTAAAATTTTAATTAAAATCAAGTCTCAAACGCTATTCACTTTACTATAAATCATTTTTCAATAATTTCTTAAATAAATTGCTTTTTGATAAGTTCCAGCATTCCGAAACACTCAATCAAAAAGCACTCACTGTTTCTGACCCTATGCCCACATTCTTTCTCAAACCTTCCCATCTCCATCGAGCGGTTCTCTTCGTGCCACACCTCCACACCTTATCAATTAATAAACGGCCCACCTTCTACCACGTGTAAGTTCGGATGCACATATTACACCACCGATCCGACGGACCTTGCCACTTCGCTCAACCCCCCCTTTCTCCTCCCCAGGATTCCGGCCACTCTTTTGTCAAACCCTAGAGCCTCTCAGAAAAGGAAAAAGTTACTAAGCCCCGCCTTTTTCCCGCCTAATTATCCCCCTGTTTATGCTAATTAATTTCAGATGGCGGATTCGGACAACGACTCCGGCGGATACAACGGCGGCGGCACGAACCGAGACTCGGCGAGGGAGCAGGACAGGTTCCTGCCCATAGCGAACGTGAGCCGGATCATGAAGAAGGCGCTGCCGGCGAACGCGAAGATCTCGAAGGACGCGAAGGAGACTGTCCAGGAGTGCGTGTCGGAGTTCATCAGCTTCATCACCGGCGAGGCCTCCGACAAGTGTCAGAGGGAGAAGCGGAAGACGATCAACGGCGACGACCTTCTATGGGCCATGACCACGCTCGGATTTGAGGAGTACGTCGAGCCGCTCAAGATCTACCTGGCCAAGTACAGAGAGCTGGAGGGGGAGAAGATCTCGGTGGGCAATCGCCCTGGGGAGAAGGACGGGAGCGGCGGCGCTGGATCCACCGCCGGGAATTCGAGTTCGGCCGGCATGTATGGGGGTCCGGTGGTGTACAACCAGGGCCAGATGTACGCGTCTGGATCGTACCACCAGAGGTAGCGGGGAAGAAATTGACAAACAAGTCCTTTACGACATCGTTTCATCGGTTACTAATACTAAGCTAGCTCTTCAGAAACCATGTCCGTACATTTTTCTGCTTAAACTTTCCAGAATTCGTGATGTTCTTCTGCTGAACTCATTGACAAGTGGAGATTTTAGATGAAGACGCCACCTTTTTCATTTCTTTTCTTATCATTCCCTTTTTTTTTTTTTTTTTGAAAATGTAAAACTTAATTCAGAAAAAAGAAGCCTATAGTGGAGATTTCAGTGGGATGCATGTGGAAAGGTCGGTTGTGACCATTAGGTGTGTTTTAAATAATGTACATATATAAAGTTGTGACCTTCAATGGTAAAGCAATAATGTCACTACAAATTTCTTTGTTGTACATTATTGTTCGGTCATTTATCCCACTTTAAATAAATACTCCTTCAAAACCAGCTCGCTTGTGCCCGGTGAATGCGTTTCAGATTTAGAGCCGACCATTTCGACTAATACTCTCCCCATCGCATTAACTTGGATCCCATCACATTAACTTGTATCAGAGTTTAAAAAGATTGAATAAAGTGGAAATATATGATTGCGGTTGAATAAGAAAATGTTAACTTGGATCACAGTTTAAAAAATATAAGATTGCGGTTGAGTAAGAAAAGGTTGAGTAAGAAAATGTAATGAATGTAAATCATACAAATCTTTCCTACAAAGGAAATAAAAATTATTTTTAAGAACAACCCAAAAAGAAATTAGAAACTATTTTGCGGGACGAAAGAGTAATAAGAAATGTAAGGTTATAGTTCATTTTGTGACTATATTTGCTGAAGTTTCTATTGAGAATCGTTTTAGCTATTTTGTTATATTCACTCCATCCCTTAAAACTTTATCAATTTCCTTTTTTGGATATCCCACTAATTTTGTCACTTTCTCTTTTAAGTAAAGAATTTTTTGTTCAGGTTAATTCTCTCTCATCTACACAAATCTCAATCACACAGTTTTTACTTTATTAATCCTCGTGTCAGTCAAACTTGGCAAAGTTTTAAGGGACGGAGGGAGTGTGTGTGTGTGTGTGTATATATATATATTGATGGAATATATGGCACAAGAACCCCCGACCCATATACTCCCATTACAACAATCAGGCCCAACAGGTCCAAATGGGCCAAGCCCAATAAACATACGAGTGATGTGCCTTCGGGCCCATGCACCGAAGGCTTTAAACTCAGGAAACCTGGTCCAGAAACATCACCAAAGAACAGAGCTTGAAATATGAGCCTTCGGCACAAGGAACCCTGGTGTGCAGGGCCTTCGGCCCCGGTAGGTACGATCGAAGGCAATATTCTCGACAAGATCCCCTCTCCCACATGCACTGAATCATCGCATCAAGTACAGCGTCACACCCAAACCATCGCATTGAATGCGACCACGTGCTATGGTCGGCACCACCCTGATTGAGTTGACCCTCCACCACTGGTTGCTTGAGACGTGTACCCTCACTCGTTAGATCTAGCATTTATGTCTGCTATAAATAGCAGCCAATTTTCCCATTATAAAAAGAGACAACTATATATATCGAATACCTTTTCTCTCTCTCAATTATTGCTCTCATTTCCCTCCAAGTTATTCACGGTAATAACCCCTCGGATAAGCTACCCCCCGGATACACTATCCATCATTTGGTGCTCTCATTGAGAGGTCCGAACAATCAAGTAAGAAAGTCCCCCCTCACCAAACACAAGAATACCTATCGAAATGGGAAGAACCACTCGTGCTCAGCCCAAGACCCTTGAAGACAACAATATGGCCCTCGCGCGAGGTCGATGCCCCCAGAGCCTCCAACAGGGTTCCTGAGAGCGGAGTCATCGCCAGGTTGGAACAGACTGCTGTTGACCTATGTCTCCAGCTCCAGAAGAATGCTCCCGATGCCTGCCTAGGCATCGAAGCTCGGAAGAAGGACCGGAGCGAAAACCAAGTAAGCCCTCCGGTCCTCACTGTCGACGTGTAGTCGGCGTTCTCTGCCTTCATACAGACGCTCACCCAGAACCCGGGGGCCTTCGGCACTCTGGTTCCACTGCATCCGCGGGTCGGGGAGAACATCGTTTCTCCCCCACCTCCACCCCCTTCGTAAACCCTATCTTTCGGATCGGGAACAACGAAGGGGTCGTTGCTCAGGATACCGCCTCCCAGGAGGTTCAGTCTCGGGACCAGCGCAACGGCGAACAAAGATAGGCCCCAGACCTCCGCCCTCGAGAGGCTCGGAGGAGTGAAAAATCGCTAAGGGGTCCAAGCTAGACCGCCTCGGTAGTAAAGCATTCCAAAAACCTCAGGAAAGCGGAGGATCCGTCTCGAGGGCAGACGAGAGGCGTCCCCCTCGGGACAAGGGCAAGGGACTGCTTCATGCTGATGATGCCAGGCACCAAATAAACCAAGCTCACTCAGCCCGCACACAATCACACGGGGAGGAACCACTCCCGAAGGATCACCAGGATGACATCATTGAGGCCCTTCAACGTCGGCTTGATGAAATGGAGGCTCGCCAAGCGCACACAACCGCTTCTGCCTCCCATGCGGATCCCAAATATGAGGCCATGCTGGCCAAAATGGAGGAAATGCAATGGAAGATTGCCGAGGGCTCCGGGGAACCTGTCGACCAGCTTCGCACGAAGACGTCTTTCACCCCAAGAGTACTGGCAGCTCAGATTCCCGGTAAGTATCGAGGACAACCCATAAAGCCCTATGAGGGGAAGACGGATCCCCAGGAACACTATAGCAGGTACCAAAATAGCATGATGATGATGGGGGCATCAGATGAGTATTTGTGTCGTTGGTTCCTTTCCACCTTGGAAGGATCGACACACGAATGGTTCAACCGACTGCCCGAAGGCAGCATTGACTTATGACAAGAGCTTGCCCAACGTTTCTTGACACAATTTGTGGGAAGGCACTGGTCAAGGAAACATTTCTCCCACTTACTAACAGTGAGGCAGCGGAAAGAGGAAACCCTCCGGGATTTCTTGGAACGCTGGAGGCTGGAGACAGATAAGGTCGCCGACGCCGACGACGGGATCCTTATGGCTCTCCTACAAATGGTTCTCTGCACCGGGAACTTCTCAAGGAGCCTCATCATGGAACTTCTTAGGGACCCTTATGGCTCTAATAAAATATATTTTATATATAATTTTTTTTATAAATTAGCAGGATCAACCAATCCAGCCATTCCAACCAGAACTTTATAAATTTCATCAGGATCAACTAATATTTCCGAATTGACAATTATCAAACGGGCTCTTGTAATATAGAAATATCCTAAAACATTTTTATTGAGACTAGAAATTTTCCGATTTGACCGGGTTATTTTGAGTCTGATTTTAATTGGGATGGTAGATATTTGGTCTATGTGATTTTTACAATTGTTTAAGTCTAATCTATTTAAAATATCTCTAACGGTCGCCATTCGGCCATTTCATCTTTTGAACTATCCATTACAGCTTCTAATTTTGAATCAGCTATTCTAAAGTTTTGAACTACTGCTACTCTGCTATCGCCATTCTCAGTTTTGAACTACAAGTGTCGTCAATCTCAGGTTTGAACTACATGTTTTGAACTACAGTACCGCCACTTTCAGTTTTGAACTATAATACCGCCATCCTTTAAGTTTTGAAGTACCGTACCTTACCGCCATCCTAAGTTTTTACTACCAAACCGGTGCCGTCATTCTTAAGCTTTTGAACTACTTAACTTTACCACTATCTTAAGTTTTGAACTACCAACCTTTACTGCCTTCTTTAAGTTTTGAACTACCAATCTTTACCGACATCTTAAGTTTTGAACTATCAAACTCTATGGCCATTCCATGTTTTGAACCAATTAAACTTTACCACCATTCCATGTTCTGAACTATTTGTTGTTGCTGCCATCTGCTTATTCCCTATTTATCGCCTTTCTAATCGTTGATCAACTGCACAAACCGATCGATTCTAAAACATGAATGCACTTTCACTGGGAAACGACAGCAGACCTCCTATTCTAAGAAGAGGAGAGTATACGATATGGAGAGATCATTTCCTTAACTTTCTGGACCTGCACAATTATGGATGATAGTCCCGTGAAATCTTGAAAACAACCCTCCTACTCCTGACACATTAAAGTCAGAAACGGTTGATGAATATAATGATGAAGACAAGTTGAGGATAATGGCTGATCTAATAACTAAGACATACCTACTCGAAGCAATACCGGATGACATTTATGTCCACATCGATAGCATGGAAACATCCAAAGACATGTGGGACAAAATCTATAAAATGATGTAGGGTACTGACCAAGGCATTAAGGCTAAGAAGGTGAGTACTCTGACATCGTATGATGCATTTAAAACTAAACCAGGTGAATCACTATATGAGACCAGCAACAAGGTCTTAACCTTGTTAAATGAGATGAGGAAGGTTAACGTTAAAAAGTCAAACATGTAGATGAACATCCGTTTTCTCTGAAGCTTGAACCCTGAATGGAAGAAGATTGCAAGGCACATTTTCCAGAACAAGGGACCTCAAGAAGTTGATCTGCACACCATCCATGATAACCTTAAAGAGTTCATAAATGATGTTTCTAGGAATCAAGGGAGCCACATCACTGATCCCCTATCACTTGTGATGGAATCAAGTTAAGAACATTCTCATCCAACTACAAGTCAAAGGACAATGAACAAGAGAATTCTGAGAAGACAGTAGATGAACCACCAAAGTGTTTTAATTGTGGAAAGCCAGAGCATTGCATTAAAGATTGCCGATTGCCAAGGATGAGGGACTTCAATTACTATAAGCAGAAGATGCTCCTCAAAAAGCAAAATATGCCCGTGGCTAAGCAAGTAAGAATATGAGAATGTTGCACTCTTGGATGAGAAAGATGCTTGTTGACTCTTCTGATGAGGAGTGTGATAACATGGCGTTAGTGGCCATCGTGAAGAAAGATGAAGAAAAGGATGATGTTGCGATCTCACCTAACCTCGCAACTTTTAGTTTTCTTATTTATCACCTAATCCGAAATTGGCAAAGCCCATCGAGACAAAAGTAATACTCCCTCTGTTCTTTATTAACTGTCTCGCATTCCTTTTTGGGACGTTTTTAATTATTTGTCTCTTTCCCTTTTTGGTAAGTTTTTTCAATCAAAATACCTTTATACCCCCACTTTTATTATCATTACACGTTTCTCTTTTCTACTTTTTCATTTACCCACAACCCACTACACCTTTTACACTACCTCTATTATTTTCCTCTTAAAACCCGTGCCAAAGCCTAAGAGGACTCATATATAAGAACGGAGGGAGTAGAAGTTATGGAACAGATGATGAACCAGTTGAAACACACTAGGGGGTGAGTTATGTGTTTGTGTAACTATGAAAATTTACAAAAGGTTCTAACATGGGACAAGGATAAACAAAAATTTAGAACACAAGAATTTATCGAGGAAAAATCCACCGGATTAAAAGGTATTAAAAACCCTTGACCTTCCTCGGTGGGATTTGAAACAACTTTACTAAAAATCCTTTTAAGAAGTTACATGATAAACTACTCTAGTCTTCCCTTGCGCCACCAAAATTGTTACCTCTCTGCTAGGTTGAGTTCTCGCTACCTTATCTTGTGGATATGGAGCCTCTTAGCTTTACAACTAAGCTCTATAATATTTCTCAACTTCACATCTCAACTCTAGAAGGGAAACATTCTAAAATGTTTCTCACAAACCCATTACAACAGGGGTGAATAAATAAACAAGAGATAGAACAACAAAATGAAATATCATTAGAAGTCATTGTACTTAGGGCGTCCTTATGTTGAACTTCTTTCTCTAGGTATGTTCTTCACGATCAAAAGAACCAACACATTCCTTACCCATGCTTGGGTATTTATGCCAAGATCTGGAACTGCCGATTTCTCATGTGATTTTAAGAACTTTACTTGTTAGTCAAAACTTTCTTTGTTGAATCATTCGTTTAATTTTGAATCTCGATCCTCGCCTTTTCAATTGGATTCTGGAGCATGAGTTCTTTGACTTCTTTAAAGCGTGATATGTTGCCTTTTAAGACAACCGAATATCTTTTCCTATATGTTAGTTTCCATGCAAGCCTGATATGATTTTAGAAGATCAAAATTCTCTTTTGAAAAAAACTTGACACATAAAATAGGCACATAACAACATTTTGTCATCAACAAAACACAAACACGTTAAGTATCAACAAAGAGTTACATTAGTAGACCAAGATAATATGATTGACGTGTTAAACAACATATATCTCGATGTTCGATATTAGACTTTTAATACATAATTAAATAAGCCTGATGCTCAATAAAAGTGCATCAATACTTAACTAATAGAAATCACAATTTGCAACTAAAACAGCAAAAATGCCCCCGACTGTACAGTGCATACCGTACAACTGGGTGTACGAGCTACAAACTCGTTGAAAAATAATCATACTAAACAAGTTATATTTTCTTATGCACAAGTTACATCTTCTTATGCGCAAATTACATCTTCTTATGCGTGAGCCACACATTCTTATGCGCGAGTTACATTTAGACTTATCTCAACAAGATACATTCTGCATAGACGTAAGTTACATTTTTTATCTAAGCAAGTTACATTTTTCATAACACGAGTTACAACAACATCCAAGCCTTAATCCCAAATGAGTTTGGGGTCGGTTAACATGAGTCAGTCTATGATATCGATGGAAAAAAGAGAACACAGGCAAGAAGAAAAAGAAAATAATAAAATAAGATAAAACGGATAAGATAAAGATAAATAAATATATAAGATAACACTAACATAAGAACATAAGAAAGTTAAAAGATAAAAGAAAGCATGACCCCTATATTACTACCCATGTTTTCATTTCCAAAAATATGACACCTTTTATTTTTTCCAAAAATATGACACATTTTAAATGAATGGGCTCAACTCAAACCAATGAACCATCCACCACGGAGTATCATCTATTCATCGTTTCATATGCCGCCTCAACCCTTCAAACCATCAAATAAGGAGAGTATCATTTATCGCTGCTTCAAATTTCATATGCCACCGCCGCCTTGTTCACAACCGTTGGACGTCGCCGTGCTTTTAACCGTTGGACGCCGCCTTTCTCTCAACCGCCAGATGCCGCCTTGCTCTCAACCGTCGGACACCTCATTGCTCTCACCCACCGGACGCCGCCTGAAATCTCACCCGTCGACCGACTGCTTCACGCATGGCTTTGTCTCACGATCGCCATCGCCTCCACTTTCCTTTTTCTTCTCTTTTCTACAGGCGATTGACGCCATTGATGGGCGATGGTGAGAGTCGAATGACATGGATATGCCTATTTATGCTAGGGATTCAGAACATAGAGTTTGTGTTTTGATTGGTAGGGGAATAACAGGCTGGTGGGTGGCGGGGTGGTGGGGAGCATAAGGTTGAGGTAGTGAAGGGTTGGGACATGGACGAGGGTAGGGGTGGTGACCTAGGCAGGGGAAATGGTAGGGAAATGCTAGGGTTCCAGTGAGGGTGGACTCTGGCTGAGGTTTCTGTAACACTTGAGATTTAATTTAAACGGATTAATAGTACTACTCATACCAACAAGGTGCATATCCTTTTAAGGGAGCTCATCGGCTAAGAACTCCACAGTTAAGCGTGCTTGCATGAGAGTAGTCCCAGGATGGGTGACCCCCTGAGAAATTTCTCAGGGGCGCACGAGTGATGACAAAGTGCGCGGAAAGGCTAGTGGTGGTTTGTGAGGACAGTAGTAGAGGTTTGGAGAGTAATTGTGAGTAACTACCTCGAGCCTTAAGGGGCGGGGTGTTACAGGTGGTATCAGAGCAACCTTGCGACAGTGTGCTGATCCGTTGGATATCGGGCGGGCACTTAGAAGGGGAAAGATTCTGAGATATGATTGAGATTGAAGTGGTTTATTGGCTGCATTGAGGCAGTGTTGCTGCTAGCCAGAGACTGACTTTTTCTATTGGGTTTAACAGTGACACAATTATTGGGGTTAGTCAATGAAACATATGGAAGACTGAAAGTCACTGAATCGGTGGTGGGCGGTCACTATGGCCGGTGGGGCAGTCACTGTGGCCGGTGAGACAGTCACTGTGGTGACATAGTCACTTTGGCCGGAGTCACTTTGCACTGCTGGGGGTTAATTGTGGTGTTGGTCACATTTTAGGAATTTTTAAAAAACCTGTCACTTTTTTGTCTTTTATCTTATTTTTAGTAATATTCAGGCCAAAAGGCCTAGATAAAAACATAAAAGAGCATAAGGGATAAAAATAAAATAAGGACATAAAAAGATAAAGGAGATAAACAATAAAAGAAAAAGAGAGAGGAAATTAAAGATAGAAAGAGGATCAATCGTCTACACGAATGTGTGCCCCTCACTTTGCACTCTATAAAGCCATACTCTCATAAGAGGATGTTTCCGGTGGAATTTTTTGAGCATATTCCTCATCAAGTCTTGTTTATGCATACCAAATTTCAGCTCAAAATTCAACCAGGAAGGCAATTAAACAAATTCTTGAAACATACTACGTTTTATATATGTACAAAATGGGATGTAAGAGAAGAGCCGCCACTTGAAGTGACGGCTTTTGTGAGAAGAGCCGCCACTTGGAGTGGCGGCTTTTGTGAAGTAATACAAGAGCCGCCACTTGGAGTGACGACTTTCCTTAATCGTGATTAATTCCAGCAGTATTTTGGGAATTATTTTTAATCCGACAGTATTTCGGGAATAATTTATTTAATTAGCTTTATTTCGGGAAAAAACTCTAGAAAATTTACATATCCATTTGCCTCCTGTTACATATCACATCAATGTGAGATATTTCTTTAAACGCGATTTGTCATCGTGCTACCAAAGAAAAAAATTACTCGTATTAAAACGTGTTAATGTTGACTCTTGTTTTATCTACTCCGTATTAGAATACGATATGATGCTCACCATGAATAGTGAAAAGACGCGTGTCATGCTGATCTTCTACTCCTATTTTAAGGTAATTGCTTTTAATACGGATTATATTACAGAATATATATTATGCTAAAGACAATAACTGAAGTCTTATTATTTCGTTATGAGGTATTGAGCTTTTGTTTTGGCAAATTATGAGGTATTGAGCTTTCGTTATGAGGTATTAATAGATGAGCACCCCAAACTTGCACATGTAATTTAAATACTCAAACTTTGTATCAAAAGTTATTTTAGCATCATAGTCAAGTATTTTTTTTTTTAAAATGTAAGTTTATGGTGTTAGTTGCATAATTTAAAATATTTTATAATTCATGAAGACACAATTTACATTCTAAACTTCTATTGCGAAATAAATAATGTTATCCTCAATCTATATAATTGCAACACTTTTAATTTGCTATTTTAAATTATGCAATTAACCTCATAAATTTACATTTTTGAAAGAAATAATACATGACAATGGTGCAAAAATAACTTTTTACATAATTTTTAGGATATATAAATTACATGTGCATGTTTGGGGTGTTTACCTCACTTCCTTTCAAAGTTTGTGGTATTTTAATTATTTTTCCCTTAAACAAATAATAATATAGTGGTATTGACATTACTACGTACTCCCTCCGTCCCAATTTGATTTGCAAAATTTCCTATTTTGGTTGTTCCAATGGTTTTCCTATTTAGGTATGTAAATAAGAATAAAGTGATAAATTTACTCTTACTTCTATTTTTTAAATTTACTCACTAACTTAAAGGCATCTATTTTTAAAAAGATGAGCAAAAGTGTAAAAAACAAACATCATTTATTGTCATTCCTTAATCCTTGTGACGATCAAAGTTTGCAATTCAATTCGGGACGGGTGGAGTATTATATATTTGCGCAATTCCTTTCTTGGATATTACCCTCATTGAAACTTTGTCATTTTGTAAATCAACCATCACCATGATATGAAGTTATACCTGAGTACTATACCTTACGTATGTTCTAAGTCATTTTTGATATAGATGGTTATAAATACATGTTTAAGTCGACTTGAATTTTCCTACACATCTGCAGAGTACATTCAATTTGAGTAATTTGAAGTACGTAGTAGATATATATTACTCCGTATAAATTTACGTCTTTTAAAGTAAGTCTTGGTTAGCTATATATCCACTATTATTATAATCCGAAGTTGTTTTGTTATTATTGTTATTATTATTATTATACCTTTACGAGTCTTATTATAAAATGTTGGGATATACGTTTTGGTTTATTTAATAGAAATTACTCCAAATAGGACTAAAACTATATCAAAAACTCAAAATAGAATTTACTATGTTTTTCTTTTCAAATAAGACCATATTAGTCCTATTGGAAACATACCTATTTTTTCTTTCCATTTTTACCTTTCCTTTACATATGAGTTAATTAAATGTTTAATTCATAATAAATTCGAAAAAAATTCAAAAAATCGTAGAAAAATAATTAAAAAATTTATCAAATATTTATAAATAAAATTATTATTTTTTTAAAAATTTTTAAAAAATAATAAAAAATAGTAAAACTCCATAAAAAATTAAAAAAAATGGATGACTTTCCCACCGCCTGTACTACCTCCCTGCACCTCCATTTCCGGCTGGTGAAAAATGCCATTTTTCCTAAAAACTGTCATTTTTTCTGAAAATGTCAAACACATGTGGCATATTTCTCTTCGAGAATGCCAACATTTTCATTATTTTCTGCCATAAATATGGCATTCGTAATGAACTTGACATTTTTTCCCCTGGTGACTGGAGTTGGTGGTGCAGAGGCGGCAGAGGCGGCGGTGAATTTTATTTTATGTTTTTGAGTTTTTTAATTTTTTACTCCGTATTTTTTTTTGAAGAAAATATTATCATCAAAATATTTTTATTAATTTTTTAGTATTTTTTACGATTTTTTATTATTTTTTTATTATTTTATTATGAATTAAAACATTTCAATAGCTATAAGGGTATATTTGTCCAAGACACACATAATTAGTCTTATGAAAACATAGTTTTTTTTGTTCTTTATGCAAAGTGAGTGACTTTTAGTACTATTTTGATAATTAACCGATTTATTTAATCATTTCGTACTTTCTCAATGACCTAGAGGAAAGAAAGAATAAGAGTATTAATATTATGCTGTTGTCATGCATTCGTGGTAGGTGTGCTAGCTTAGTAAAACAGGTAAGCAATCCAAGGTAGAATTGTTGGAATTAACCTTGTTGTTTATAATTTCATCATGTTTAATTTAATTTATTTTGAATCATTGATGCATTTTAGACTAGAGTGTGAGTGCACGGCGGGATGAGTCATGCCAAGTAGTGTGCGTCGTGTGACACCGTGCATGTGTTGTAGTGGTACTGATATGTGTATGTGCTGTTACATTAGTGTCAGTCTAATTTGGGTCAAATTAGTTAAGTTGCATATTAAGTTATTTGTATTTAGTATTACATTATCTTATTATTAGTTACCCATGCATGTAAGTACATGCACGTACGTTAGTATTTACATTAGCATCGTCCACTATGCGTAGTGGGTGAGTGCCGAGTTGGTAGTTGAATTGTAAACCACAGGCAGGCTTTGTTTATAAGTTGGACATGAGAAAAAATAGAAATGTTGCTTTTGAGCACAAAAAAAAGAGCTGCGCATGGTTTTATTCCTAAGCTTCAAGAGGCTACGTATGAATTTAATTCTTTGCTAAGCTTTAACTAGATTGAGCTACACATGCATTATTTCTTCTAAGCAAACCCAACAAGAATATCATAAGAAATTGTCCTAAATATGAAAAGCATTTGACTCCATTTAATTACCTAATTTTTACCCTTAATTAGTATAGCCGTATAGGGTTAGGATTTACTGTCAGGGTCTACAAATCTGCTTGAGATTCAGCATTAGGGCCTTTCTAGGGGTTAGGAATTGGCCCGCCCGGCGGATCAAATTAAATGACAGCAACGACGGTGACAAAGACCTGCAGGGAGTTGCATGCGATAGAGGGCCGGCGACAGTCGACGGTGGCTCTGCTCTATATACCCTAAAATGACATTTTTATCTTGACATTTTTGAAAATTTTAAACATCTACTCTAATTTTTTCAATGCATTTTAACCATGTTTAGTTTTAACCATGTTTAGGATGTTTTAAATTGGGTTGAAATCTTTTGATCTCGTCTGATCTTATTTGATTTTTTTTGATCTGTAAGTTCAAGTGTGAGAGGTCTAATAGAAGTTATATATATGTTTTAAGTGTGTTTTACAACTTTTGGTGTATGAGATTGTCTAAACTCCTTTATTTAATTCCACTCTGGTCTCTAAAAATTGAAATCAATGTAACTAAAAACATCATTACTACTTGTAATGGGCAATTTTCTGAAGTAATAAATAACATTAATTAGGAACGCATGCCCGCAGTGGATTGATAAAAATGGATATATCTTAAATTAGCTTGTAGGTGGCAGCTGCGCGCACGTACTATAATGGGGAATTGGCTTGGTAGACTTTATAATTATTATTATTATGGTTCTACGAATAGCGAAAGTGATGCTGGTTCAAATAATGGGACACCATTATTATCCCATGGAGAAGGAAGTGAGCTGGAGGGTAAGAGCAGCAGCAGAGATGAATCATGGTCAAACACAAGTAGCAGCACTTGCACGGATTCCGATGACTTTGGCGTCGGGACATCAATATGGAAGGGTTTGCATGATCATGACCGGCAGCTTGTTGTGTTGAAAAACCGAGGAGGAGGACGTAACATTCATGAAAGGTACTGGATTAACCATGGACGGGAGCTGGGGAGAGGAGGGTGGGGGGTGGTACGAGTCTGCATTGATTTGGAGTCCGGCGAAGAACTGGCCTGCAAGTCCATCTCTAAAAACGAAATGCTGCAGAATGATGAGAACGTTGAATGTGTGAGGAGGGAGGTGGATATCTTGTACCACTTGAAGAACTGTCCAAACGTGGTTACCATCAAAGGCGCTTATGAAGATGACGCCCAAGTCCACATTGTGATGGAGCTATTGAAGGGGAAGTTGTTGCATGACGCAATGGCAGAGAGGCTTTCATTCAGCCTCACCTACACAGAGGAGGAGGCTTCCAACCTTATCACGGCTATTGTACAAGTCATCAAGGTACTATACGTAAATTAAATATATACACTACTTATAAAGTTATAATTAATTAAACACCTAGCTAGCTAAGTTAGTATACCTCCGTAACACAAACATCTTCCCATTTTGATTTTTCACGATCTTCTAAGTTGAACTTTGACTCTAAATATCTACATATCTATATTTATAAATTTATAATAAATTAACATTCAAATAATATGTTTTACAATGCGGTATATGAAATAAATTTTTACTCATAACATAATGTGAGTTTTGAATAATTAATAGTAAAAGTTTATAAATTTTGACCCAAAAGAGTCAAACTCAGAAGATTCTAGAGCAGTAAATAATTAGAGGGCAATTTCTATGGTACCTTGAAGGTATGGTACCTTGATGGTATGGACCAATAAAAAAAATTCAATTGAATAATTTAAATGCAAATAAAATGTAAAACTTTGAGTTGGACCAATGAAATGCATCCTAGGTATGGTACCCTCCTATTTTTGTTGGGTACCATAGCAAGCACATAATTAGAGAACGTATAATGTATATATACGACTTTCAATGCAAGTAACAAGTTTGGAATTTCATGACGTACGGTAAAATCAATAACAGCAAAATTGATCGATTCGTTGGGGATATAAAATACGAATACTTTTGTTAGTCATTCAATCAAGTCATGTAAACATTAATAAAGTACATAGAGAGATCAGATACTCTTTTGAAAGAGATTAAGTCACAAGTTAATACCTTTAAAAAAATGTAACAAGTTAATAAATTATCATATATATGTGTGTCATGTGTGTACTTAATATCAATATATAAATTAAAGAAACTTTATTGATTGGTAATCTGACTTTAAAGGAATTATTAATTCAGAACGTGAAAGATAGATAAATTATCAATTCTGGACCTGAAAGATAAATTGTATCGGTATAGGACCTGAATGATGAAAAACTATCAATTTAAGACTTAACATTTCATTAATTTTTATTTATTTTATTTTTTATTAATTCTGTTGCTATATATTGTCGGAGTTGCTACAATTATTGGAAGGAAAATTCCCGCCCAAAAAGTAATAAATATGTAAATACTACATAATCAAGTTGTGAATGATTAGATGTAAAATATATATTACCATTTAAAATTAGGGTTAGTTATCAAAATAGGACTAAAAGTCACTCACTTTGCACAAATAGGACCAAAAAATAAACTATGTTTTCATAGGACTAATTATGTGTGTCTTGGGCAAATACACCTTTATAGCTATTGAAATGTTTTAATTCATAATAAAATAATAAAAAATAATAAAAAGTCGTTAAAATACTAAAAAATTAATAAAAATATTTCAATAATAATTTATTTATTTATTTATTTTCAAAAAATATAAAAAAAAATTTAAAAAAAAACTCAAAAAATAAAATAAAATTCACCGCCGCCTCTGCCGCCTCTGCACCACCACGAATCCCATATTTATGGCAGAAAACAATGGAAATGTTGGCATTCTCAAAGAGAAATATGCCATATTTTTGGCATTTTCAGAAAAAAATGACAGTTTTTAGAGAAAATGGCATTTTTCACCGCCCGTAGATGGTGGTGCAGGGAGGTAGTACAAGCGGTGGGAAAGGCATCCATATTTTTTTTAATTTTTTATGGAGTTTTACTATTTTTTATTATTTTTTTTTAAAAAATAAAAAATTAAAGAAATTAATTTTTTTAATTTTTAATTTTATAAATATTTTATAAATTTTGTAATTATTTTTCTACGAATTTTTGATTTTTTTTTTTCAAATTTATTATGAATTAAGAGTTGTCATAGATTATAATCTTAAAATATTTTAAATATGTTTTGTTCATTCTAGTATTATGTAAGAGTTGTCATAGATTCTAATCTTAACATATTTAAAATTGCAGATGTTGCACAATAATGGAGTGATACATCGTGACATTAAACCTGATAATTTTATGTTTCAAAGTACCGACGAAACTTCTACTTTAAAGGCAATTGATTTTGGACTAGCAGATTTCTATACGCCCGGTGAGCTAACATTAATAATTATGAGATGGTTTATGCATTTTGGTATAACTTTTATTTGGATATAAGTAGATTGTTATTTTGAATTGCCTCGAATAAGATAACTACGACTATATGATAAGGTGTGAACTACTTCACTTTGCTTCACAACATTATTTTACTCCAAAATCAACTATATATGCATGTTTTTAATTTAATAGAACAATTAGAAAAAGGGAAGAAACTTATAAAGTTAATTCAACTAGCCATTAAATATTGTGTCAGGACTTAACATAGTGATATTTTAAAGGTAGATTCTATGGTACTCATAAGGTACCATATCTTTGTCCACATGGACCAATGAGAATGTAGTAGTTGAATTATTTAAATCTAAATTAAAAATGATAAAGTGGTGTGATTCAATCAAATGAATGGTAAGTACAGTACCCCATTTTTAAGAAAGGTACCGGAGTTGTCACCTATTTTAAATACCACCTCTACTAGCCATTTTTTCTTATATGAACTGACATACGTGGTATCGAGTATAAGATTTTTGACAAAAATAGCCTAAAAACTTTGATGGAGTTTTTCCCAAATGAGCCAAATATGGGTGTTTTTTCCATATCATTCGTCACGTCAGCGTAGTGTCACTTCACCTTCCACATTATTCACTAGTTTGCTATATTTGAGCAAATAAACTCCATACCACTCCACCATTTTGCTCAAACATGTCCCCTTTACAAATAGTTGAAGTATAAAGATTTTACATATTCAAGCTAAACTCATGCAGTACTCATTAATTCCTTTAAAAACATACTTCCTCCGTTCTTTAATAATTGCAACATTATAATTTTGTATTATTCACACATCTTACTTTGACCATGATTTTCTACTAATATATACAACGTAATTAAGTTATTATGTATAAAATGTTACTACGTATTAACTTTCAATTAATGTGAATTTACAAAGTATTAACTTTTTATAATGTTTACGAATACGTAATTAAATATAATTAGAGTCAAAGTTGTGCGTTGATAAACGTGAAAGTAAAACTGTTGCAACTATCAAAGAACGGAAGATAATATTATTTGTTTCTCACATAAATATAAAACATGATAAAAAAAATTAATTCGAGATATTCAAATAAAAAATAAAAACATAATTAAAATATACTAAAAACATAATTTAAGATATGGAATATAAAAGTAATCTAAAATAACTCAAAAACAAATCCGTACTGGGCCCTATCCTACACCATAATTAAAAAGAGTCTTATATTATTAAGATAAAACATGACAACAACTTAATTCGAGATATTCATAAAAAAATTAAAACCAAATTGAAATATATTCCGTACTAAAAAATTAATTTGAGATATAAAATTTAAAATTAATTTAAACTATCTCAAAAAAATATAAAAAAAAATAAATGCCATGTTGGGCCCTGATACACACCAAAATTAAAAAAGAAATCTTATATTATAAAGATAAAAAACGTGTAAAAATTATCTAATAAAAAATCTTTATATATTCTTAATTAGGCTCAGACTTGACTCGCGCTCGGTTGGGATTTCGCTCATAATCTTTAATAGCTTTGAACTTGAATAAGATGCTCGAACACGAACTAAAAATGAATTTTCTATTTTTGGTTTATTTTAATATGCTCCACATAGTTTTAATTTATGTGTGCTCTAAATTTTCGAAAATAGAAAATAATTTTTAGCTCGAGTTCGAGCATTTTGTTCGAGCTCGAACCTATAAAAACTAATAAGGATAATTTTAAGTGAGCGGTAGTCATTTTCGAGCCGAACTGAAACATTATTATGTGATAATTGCGTGTGCGTAGAGCATCTCCAATGCAAAAACGTGAAGTGTGCATATGCAGCATGAGAGAGATCTAATTAAAAAACAACAAATAGAATATCTCTCTCCTTATTTGAACGTTTTTATATGTTTTGGTAAGATTTTCTCCACAATGTAAAGAGCAATATCAAGATGTAAACAGTATGGTTAACATTGTTTCTTTTATTTCGATCCTCTTCTTATAACAAAAATATAACAAAAACACATTAGGTCGTGGAAAGAAGGAGAGAGAATAAAACAATTGCTTCTTTTATTTCGATCCTCTTCTTTATATACCTCTATTCAATTGGATTTAGCGAGCACTCGAAGTGTGGCGTCTTAACAAAAAGCCAACAACACCTTCTATTAGATTGAATTTCTAGAATATATATACCCTCAAATCTTAATAACTTGTCCACATAGTGATGACCAAAGTTTTCATTTTATCATTGAGAATTAAATGGACGTGTTCACTGATTCAAGACCAGAACGAAGCTAGCCGAATGAAAGACTGAAAATTCAGTCTTGGATTTGAGACGGGCCGGGGTAAATAACCAACCCGGTCAGACTGAAAAACATATTAGATCGAAAATGGACTAATTGAACCACATAGTTGTATTTAATGTACTCCGTATACAGTGGCGGACCCACTAAGGGTCCTACGGGATCCCGGGACCCCATGGACTTCCAAATAAATACCTATATATTATATATATTTTATATAAAATTAACTAAGAAATGTATATATATATATATATATAGTAAAAGCAATCTAAAAAAATCAAAGACTGGAGTAGTATAACGGGACCATGCATCACATTAGAAATTCTGGTCATCACTATGTGAAGTTGAATAAGCATTGGCTTAATCAACAATTGATACCAGTCTATTACAACGCTTCTTAGTCCGATCCGTACATACATCTTCAATTATTTGGACTTTAATTTGCTGTTTTGGTCTGGTCTAGTTTTTTTTTTTATATTTTTGTATAAAGATTTTATTTTATATCTATATTATAATCCATAAATAATTATATTTTATTCATTTATAATTAAAAATAATAATATTTCTTCCACATTATCGAAAATTGTTATCGTTTTACTTGGACTGAAGCAGATCAGACCAGATCGAAGCAGATCAGACTAGATCATATAAATACAGAACAACTCAAACTAGATCAGACCATATAAGACTACACTGAACTAGTCCAAATAAAAACAGGACAAAAGATAAAATTAGGCAACCCAGAGCAACGGGTGCATGATGACATTTATTATTTTATACGTAGTAGTACTTTTTTTTGTTCTAAAAAGATTTATAGTTTACCCATTATTCATACAATTTTTTTTACAAATAAAGATTTTATTTATTTATTTTTATTTCTTTATTTTTTACAAATCAAGATCATCTATATTATTTTGTCACTTGTATGACTTAAAATACGAACTAACTAAACCAAACAATAATAAAATAGTCGGTGTACTAATAACCTAAACCAGTCTGGTCTGGTCTGGTCTGGGATAAATTACAGTCCAAGTAAAAACAGCCTAAACCAGCGAGTGTAATTTTACTTTAACCATTAATCTCATACTCCCTCTGTCCCATTAGAAGGTTCACATTTTTAATATTTTACTTTATAAATCAAATTTTTACCAAATTTACATTTTTTTATCAGGCTTTGTAGCCGTTTTAATGTAGTTTCTGAATATGTTAATTTAATTTATTAAAAATAATCAGAGTGTGAACAGAGATTAAGTTGCTTTATCGTCAATCAACACTACCAAAAAAACACAGGATAGGCACGGATTTGGCACAGATTTGCCAATGATTTTGTGCCAAATAGCTCGTGCCAAACTATTTTTGGCATGAATTTGGCATATCCCTGCCAAAATCCTTGCCAATTTCGAAAAATCCCTGCCAAAAAAACCTATCAATCCCGTGTTTTTTTGTAGTGCAAGCTTCATAAACCGTTCCCGGGAACCTTCTAGTGGGACGGAGGGAGTATTAATTAGGGACCCCATGACTCTATTTCTCTTGATCCGCCCGCCACTGTCCGTATATGTTTAAGATAATACCTAGGCCGGGTAGCTTTAATCAAGATGTTGTTACTTGTTATGTAGATATACTAAGAGTAATTCATTATTTCATACCATTAATATACTGAGCCCGGCCAATTAAAAAATTAAATTGAAGGAGAGAGGACTGTATTGAAATCCATTTCGATTAATTATTTGGATATATATATATATCTGGGCTGCTCTGGCATGATAATTAAGAGTACTGATTAATTTTCTTCTTTTAATTTCTTGATCAGGAAAGCCATGTAAGCTTAAAATCTTCAGTGACAATTATGTGGCTCCTGAAGTTTTAAGAGGCGGCAGACATGGCCCGAAGGTTGACATTTGGGGCGCTGGGGTCTTGCTCTACGTCCTTCTTAGTTTTAAATATCCCTTTTGGGGAGGTCTGTAAGCCTTCTTAATAACACTATTTCTTTTTATAAATATAGTGTAAATTGTCAAATAATTTCCACACGGTTGTGACACTTTAAAACAGAGAAATTGAATGTGGTGTAAATTATCAAATAACTTCCACCGCTCGGTAACAGTTTTAAAATAGAATTTTTTCGTAGAAAGGGGACTAAAGTACCATCTTCTCATCAAATTATTTTCCATTTTCTTTTCTTTTTTATGGAAAAATGATTTCCCATTTCTAAAGTTCTTTGTATGACAAATTTATATATTCAGAGAATAGGGACGGTATGCTTAGAGCAGTTGCGCGCGCTGAAGTCTGTTTCAATGGTCACCCTTGGCCAAAGATTTCTGATAATGCCAAGGACCTTATAAAGAAAATGCTTGAACCTGATCCACGTCAACGACTTACTGCCGATCAAGTTCTTAGTAAGTTAATTGTGGTCCTGATTTTAGTAATACATTAATGATTGATAGAGTATAAGTTCTTGGAGAGGAATGAGAGCTATAAAGAGAAAGAACAATTAATATTTCTCTAACTCCCTATCACTACTTCCAAGGAGAGTAATTATAGGGAAAATACAGGTCGATGCTCTCAAGTCTTTATCTTGGGAAGTCCATTACAAAATAAGGCCTTTACTGGAATGGATACATGATTTATTTAGCTAAGTATAAAATCTATCTCTACTTTGGTCGCTTTGGCCGACGGGAGACCAGACCGACGGAGGGTCTGGCCGACAGAGGAGCAAGTTCTGCTCCTGAGTTTTTGGACCATATTCTGAGTTGGTAAATGTTCGGTCGAAGGAGGAACCTCTGGTCGATGGAGGGCCACGTGGGTGCCAGCCGTGCTTATTTAGTCTTTTGAGTATGTGGATCATGAGGTCTGAGTCCATATACTCTATCAATTAATAAATTGTTCAGAACAAGAGTAAAATATGCGTAGTAATTAATATTCTAAAACAGGGCTAAATATTACTTCCTCCGTTTCTAAATCAAAGTCACACTTTCCTTTCTTGGATGTTTGAAAACAAAGTCACACTTCCTTATTTGACGAAAAAAATCTATATCAAAACAGTGTCAAATAGTGTCAAAATAATGTACTTCACACTAAAATTTACCCCTCAATAAAAAAAATCTTAATTAGTGTCAAATCAAATTGTGACTTTGATTTAGAAACGAATGTAGTATTTTATACTCCGTCCGTTCTTTATTATCTGTCCTCTTAGGCTTTGACACAGGTTTTAAGAGGAAAATAATATGGATAATGTAAAAGATGTAGTGGATTGTGGGTAAATGAAAAAGTAGGAAAGAGAAAGGGATAATGGTAATAAAAGTGGGGGTATAAAAGTATTTTGATTGAAAAAACTTACCAAAAAGGGAATGATGGACAAATAATTAAAAACGTCTCAAAAAAGGAATACGGGAAAATTAATAAAGAACGGAGAGAGTAATACATTCAAGTTCTAAAGAGTAAAAAAGTTAATTAAGTGCTCTCGTTAGATCAACTATTTATACTTAAAAAAGTCAAGTACTCTTTTTCATCCCGTGGGGGGATCGGAGAAAGTTAGGAGTGTGCGGCATAAAGAACTTTAATGCACGATTAATAAGAAGCAGGTGCGTTCTTAGGATGTTTTAACTTAGAGAGTTATAAAATAGGCAGATCAAACGTTTAACATATCAAACAAGACCAGTCCAGTTCAGACCAGATCAGACTAGACCGGATAATAAAATTTCAGTGTAAGTAAAAACATCCTTAGTTATAACTATATATAGGATGTTTTCAGTCTTAGACCAGACCAGATCAAACTAGATCAAACCAGACCATCCACACCCGATCAAATTACACCGGATCAACAAATTTTAGTCCAAAAGAAAATAATATACCTCAAAGGCTCAAATGTAATAAATAAAATAGTGCTAGAGCTAGATGGAGAGGTAATAATAACATAATCTTGCTTTGTGAATTCTAAAAATATCTCATATTATTGAAATTAGTAGACTTTGTTTTGCTCTAGTGAGCAATTTCTTTCATATTCGATCTATACTACGTATTTGTCTAATTTTAACTATCTTGTTTTTGAAAATGTACAAATATTATAGAGCATCCATGGCTAAAAACGTCAAGAAAGCATTACCATGGCCACTGATGCAGAAGACGCATGAGATATGGAATAGTATACTAGATCAGAGTATTATACTAAATACGTAGTATACATTAGTTTAATGTGTACTTAAGAATGTAATAAATCATGCAGTTTTCTCAATCACACACGATATTGTACTTCAGTGGATCGAGAATTGCAAAAGAGTTGTACGAATATAAATTTATAAAGTAATTATTAATTTATGTAGTTCCTTTCTAAAGTTTCTATGAAGAATGACTAGCTAGATTCTTTTCAACGAAAACCAATCTCTTATGAAGAATAACTAGCTAGATTCTTATTAACGAAAACGAGTCCCCTATAAAGAATAAGTAGCTAGATTCTTTTCTTTTCAATGAAAACGAATTCCCTATGAAGAATAACTAGCTAGATTCTTTTCAACGAAAACGAATTCCCTATAAAAAATAACTAGCTAGATTCTTTTCAATGAAGACAAATCTCCTATGAAGAATCACTAGCTAGATTCTTTTCAATGAAAACGAATCCTCTCAGAAGAATGACTAGGTAGATTCTTTTCAACAAAAACGACAACCCCCGTAAAGAATAACTAGTTGATTCTTTTCGATGTAGACGATTCCCCTTAGAAACTTGGGAAAACAATGCCTCAACTTGGGAATACAGGTTCCTTCTCCTCCTCAACGGTGGAACCAGAACTGTTTTTTGGATCGGCAACCACATAGATAATCGGGATTTAGTTCAATGTGACATACTTTGAATTGGCCCTTTTATTTCTTCTGTAAGAGTACGTTTTTAAATACTTTCTTCTTGGTATTAAGAATTTTAACATGCTTAATCTAAGCAATTATACAAGAGTCAATTCATATGATAATTAGCCTTGATTTATATTTAACAACTATATTCACTATTAAGATTAATATGAGGGATAAGGGTTAGATAGGGCCTCAAACTTACAAAAAAAATGTCAAATAAGATCTTATATAAGATGATCTGTCCGGCCGACGCCATTTAGGACGGTTCCCGATGGAATGTTTTGATGAATTTTTCTGAGAATCTTATTCATTAAGTCTAGTTTAGTCATACCAAATTTGAACTAAAAATTCATTCGAGAACGCATTCAAATAAATTCTTGAAGATAACTGCGCTTTTAACTGCGCAGTTATTTTCAAGAATTCATTTGAATGCCTTCCCATTTAAATTTTTAGTTCAAATTTGATATGAGTAAACTAGACTTAATGAGTAAGATGTTCAAAAAAATTCATCGAAAAATTTAACCGGGAACCACCCCAAATGGCGTCGGACGTACAGAGCATTCTATATATAACTTTATTTTACATTTTTTTTGTAAGTTCGAGATCCTACCTAACCCTTATCTTTTAGTATGATTATTTAGTTAAGAAAATTAATAACACATTATACTTCAGTAATAAAATAAAGTCAACGCACTAGCAAACTAGCGGTACAGTACTGCGGCACTAATAAATTTACAATAAAATAAATTAACTCTAATAGACAACAAGTCAACAATCAACGCCACATTACAAATTTAGACAAACCAACATACAATTTTATTAGATAAAAATTTAATACAATGATGTATGTTATTTATTTATTTACATTAACGGTAACGCCAAAGAACCATAAAATTATAATGTATAAATGAATGAAAAAAATAGAGGTACATAATAAATAGTTCTATAATAATTAATAATTAAAAATAGAGGTACATTTACATTAAAGTTTGATTTCGATCAATATACGTTGGAATGAAAAAATTGTCTACATTTCCCATATACCATCTTTATCGTACTAATATTGAGACATGAGAAAATGGTGCGACTAAACATTGATACTGAAGTATTAAAGTAAAAATAAAGTAAGAATATATAGAACTACATAATTTTTACCAAGTTTGATATGAGACAATGTTAGTGGGACGCACTGAAAGAAATTAAAAGACAATTTTAGTGGGATGAATGGAATGTAACAATATGAGCATCGAGTACGCCACATTTTTTGAATTTCACTGTGTATATATTTTTATATTATAACCGTAAAAAATGAATAATCAATGCTACACACAATTAAATACACAATATATGTAAAATATACTTTGTTCCTTATAACTTTACAATCTTTGACTTTTCAAGTTTATGATGGTAAAGTTTGAATTACAATTTTGATTAGTATAATATTTTAAACATCCAACAGCAGGCGGGCCCACACATAAATATTCCAGGTTTGGATTTAGTCGGAAGTAGAAATTTTAAAAACTTTGGACTGAGGATAGGATGAGTATATATCCGAATCTAGTTGACTCTGGAACAACCTGTGTAGTTGGGTCCAATTTTCCAGACTTGAATCTGATTTTACAAACATCTAGCTTTGAAATCTATTAAATTAATTTTTTAATACAATGAAATGTGCTATTCTAACTTTGTTTGTCATAGCCAATTTTCGTAATATTAAGAATGGTTTTAATTGAGTTGAAATTTATGATCTCATATAGTCTAGTTTGATCTAATAATAATGATATCTTCTATGCGTGTGCTACAATTGTCTAAGTATAATTTGATTTGATCTATTCTACTTTGTTTAATCGCAGGGGCGGACCGTAGTACAGACCTTGTGGGTTACCGCTCCCAACAAGAATTTTTTTTAGTGTATATATATATGAAAAATAATTTTCTCCCTCTGAAAAAATATTTTGACCCCCCCCAAAAAAAAAATTCACCCTCCCAAGATGACTTTCCTGGATCCACCCCTGTTTAATCGGATATGTAACTGAAATCAAACCAATTGAAGACATCTTATTACTCATTCCAACAAATTTAGATAGAAAAGCATATTAATTTTTATTTATTTACAAAATTACTAATTTGTATGTGAAGTGAAACTTACAATTTCGCATATCTACCATAGGGCATTACCACTTACCCCAAACATTGGGAATGAATTCTTTTAACCACGAAAGTCTTTGCAAATCATGATTCATGAGACGTTATACCGTGGGAGTGGTGCAGGGTGAGCATCATGCTCCCAGGGTTATATAAAATGTAAATCGTGTGAATCTACATGTAACTTTAGGTTAATACAAATGAAAATTACACTCATTCACATGTAACTCATTGAAATGTAAATTGCTTTAATTGAAATGTAACTTGTAAACAAGTTAGATGTAACTTGGTATATGTAACTTTAGGCAAATCTTGATGTAACTTGAAAGTACCCAACATGTAAATTGAGGAAAATATAAAATAATTGATCATAGTCATCTTCAACTCCACCAGCCCCTGCCCCCTGCCCTAGCCGCAGCCACCATTCCCAATTCCACATATGACTAAACTCAAACCAGCCTCCAATGCACCCCTCCCAACTCCAATCTAGCCTGGATGAGATAGCTCCGACGCAGCACATCATTTCCCCTCTCTAGCTCCAAACCTAGCCTTCATCCATTTGTTCATCAGTCCTCACCCTTCACCTCAGATTGGTCAGAACATGAATAAGAAGAAGAATAGCTAGCTAACGGTGGTGACCTGGAGGCGGATGCACTGGCCTGGAGTTGCGGTGACCTGGCGGAGGAGACAAATCGGAGGCTGGGGCGACGACATAGAGAGTGAGGGGACAACAAGGAGGCGGAGGCGGAGGCCTAGAGACCGATGCGGCGACTGACTGGTAGGGAAGGGAAGGACCGCGATACTGTGTCATTTTGGACCGGGCACACCATCCTCATGGTGCGTCGGTCCTAGGATATAATTTGTGAAGATTCACAAAGAGAAAATTTCAAGTTTCATTTCAGAAGATTCATAAGAGAAAATTGCAAGTTTCATTTCAGAGGATTTGCTTGTAATTGCAACCGGCAGAAATGTTGAAAACAGAGGATTTGTTTCTAATTGCAATTTCAAACCTATTGGAGTGAGGAATGAAACTTTTAGTTGAAAGTGGTTGATTTCTACTTTCTTTCCCACGTTGACTATTTCAGAAGTCATCAAACCTGGATTTGGGGTGAGTCTCGTTTCTTATTAGTCCCCGTTTGAAAATTACAACCGTATCTCGCTTTGTTGACTGACGCCATCTGGACATGGACCATTACTCTAGTCGCTCACCGGAGTTGAAGAGACATCGGTCTCCTAGCAGCTAGGGTCTGGTGACAGCACCAACACCGAACCTGAAATTTCTGTTTGCTACTTGCTAGTCTGCCTTCGCCGATCTTGAAACTTCCCCATCGTCCGTCAGCACCGTCCTGTTCACAGCAACCCGCTACAGTGGTAGGTCTCTCCCTGAGTCTCCCTCTGGCCGTCCTCTGTTTGGGGTCCGTCCTCATTGGGATAAGCCTCAGATTTGAGACCTCATCGTCGCCCGTGGTTGGTCCCCTTAAGCTCAGGACACGATTGTTCTCATTCTTCTCAGTTGGCGCTGTCTAGGATTTGATCTGACCGCTGCATCCATTGCATACCTTTCGTGTTGACAGATCGCATTTGGGCAGTTGCAGGTCTCCTTCTAGTTAGGCAGTAGCGATATATCCGGGTGATAGAGTAAATGTCTAGAGAGAAGTGAGAGCTAGAGAGAGAAGTGCAAGTAATGCTTCAATAGAATGAATTTGTCACCCTGATAACTACCTCCAGAGGAAGTATTTATAAGGAAAATACGGGCTGGGCTCCCAAGTCTTGGGCTTGGGAGGCCCATTTACAAGTGGACCGCTGTTGGGTCGAATACAAAGCCTCTGGTGGGCTATACAAATGAATAAGTGTAAAATCCGGTTCTGTGAGACTTCTGTGGCCGACGAGGGTCTTGGCCGACGAGGGCACGACCGATGAGGGCACGGCCGACGAGGACACCCTGATTCCCTGGCTTCAGGATCATAATCTGAGTTGGTCCTCTTCTGGCCGACGAGGGTCTGGCCGACGAGGGCACCGCGTGGTGGCTGTGCTTTCTGTCCTGAGTATGTGGGTCCTGGGGCCTAGACCCATATACTCCATCAGGAGTCCCCCACTCTCTAAGCTGAGATGTAGACGAAGTGAGGGAGAGTAGATTTCTGTGTTTTGACGCTTCTTGGCCGATGCGGGATCACGTTGGCCGTTCCCTGTCGCGGCGTTTGGTGACCCTGTTGTGAGTTTGGCCGTTGCCTGCCCCCTGATGCGCCATTGTTCCTTTGGTGCGCTTTGTTTG